GTTCATTAGCAACAATCTGCAAGCAGCTTTTAATCAATTGCCATTTGCAGCACTTTTGATGGAGTCTNTGAAATTTAATTTGGTCATACTAAATTAAAATACTCAATTACTCCAATTAAAGTTAATTATATACTAATTACGAAATTTTTTTAAAAAATTAGAGTTTTATTTCAATAAATGATACAATTGGACATGAATTTTGATTGTAAAATTTAAAATATTCAATATTTTATTTTTGATTTGAATATTTTTTGTCTAAATATAATATTTTAAACTTGACGGGTTTAAATATTATACGCTTATAAACTTTAGGAAATATGAATATAATTTACTAACAAATATTTGACGATAGGAGCGGGTACAAACCTCAGGAGATTTGTATGTAATATTTCAAATGTCAAGGATATGAGAGATTAAGTAATAAATTTTAAGAAATTTAAGTATAATTCTCCCAAAATAATAAAAAGTTCACGCTATAATATTTTTGATCATGAATAGTATAATGCGGAAAATTTAATTTTTAAAGTGACTGGAAAAAAAAATCTGTGCAAAGTGAGAAAAGCCCTTTACGTTATCCAGCTGTTCTGTTCTTTCTAGTTGCTTACGTCTCTTCTGTTTCTCTCTCTGTGGATGATACAACAGGACAGGACAGGACAGGGGCTTATAGTCATAGCCATAGATGGGGAGGATGAAGATGAANTAAATTTTAAAGATCACATAAAAAGAAATTTTGAATGATTAGTAGAGTTAGCATAATAGAATTGGATATTCCAAGTTATTAGAGAGAAGTGGTCTAAAGTAAGAGCATAATTAACCTGAAAACATGACCATTTTTACCTTTAAGAAGCGAACGTCCAACACCCAATGATTTAACTTTGGCAGTGACAGCAAAAGAATCAAATCCACCATGGATACTTGAGGCTTATTTTGCGAATTGTTCACTATTTCAACACGTAAACAGAACATTTTCACTTTTCTTTCACCAAAGACAGCAATCTTGACGGCAAGTGCAGAAGAGGACGATTGTTGATGAAATTTCTCTAAAGAAATTCCATGAACACGTATTCCTTCAAAAACTTGAAACGATCTTATCATCACTCCTGTCACTAAATCATAAAGCAGAAGTTGTGAACCCGTTCCTGTTGCAAAAAAGATCGCAAGAAGACAGTCACGAGTTGCATAATCTGCAGAACTCACAATGGCAAATTAAAAATCTCCTGATCTTTGAGCTTTAGTTGTTTGTGGAAGGTGACCTTTATTAAATCACACTGAGAAGCATATGTGCAATTATTTGAGTTATCTTTCTATCAATGACCAGACCTAGAAGGGTCTTTTGCACTATTAGAAGCCATGGTTCAACTGCTGGTGTGTCCTCTCAGAGTAGTTTATGCATTCCACCATATCTTTCTTTCTGTACGAAGAGTGGCGGTGGCCTCTGTTTCAAGTTCCTAAAATTCTATCAAAGAATATGATGTATTTGTTTGCGTGCGATTGTGCATAATGATAGAATGTGAGTCTACGAAAGAGAGATGAAAAAAAGAACAAACCGGCGAGGAGATAAGGAAGACAAGAGACAGAAGGCGGTGGGTGGAGAAAACAGAGGGCTGAGATTTCTCCCAGGTACTGCCCTCTTTGCAGACGCCACTCGCTACTCCTCCCAGCCATAACTACTACTGCTTCTGCTGCTGCTTCTTCTTCTTCTTTACTCTCTTCCCCTCACCTGTGGGTCTCTGTGTCTGCTGAGAGAGCTGACCCTTACAAACCTTCTTTCTTTGCTTGCAGTATTGAAGGGTTAATGTGCTGGACTAGTCATTAAATAGGCGTCGTCCAATAGATCCGTTAGACCTATGTTGGGCGGTTTTGGCCCATTTTGGTCATTGGTCGGGGCATCCTTTTGTGGGCCGCGTCCACTCAGAAAGGCATCCAAAGAAGGAAGATTTATGAATTCTTCGTGGCAATATAATTCGTTGTTTTTTGGGAAAATTTGGAAGGCAGTTCTCTTTATATACTTATTTGGATTTAAGTCTGTCAATAAAATTTATTTTTTATTAATTTTATCATATTATCCCTCCCATTTATAAGTGAATTAAAATTAAAAATTAAAAATTCTTAAATTTTAGGAGTTTGATTAACATTAAAAAAATTTATCTCTCATATATATATATATATATATATATATTAACATTAAAACTAAAAAATAATAACATTCAAATACAAAAAATTATACCATTTTAAATATAAAAAAAAATAGTAACATTTAAACATAAACAAATAGTAGCATTCAATATTAATATGTTTAAAAAAATAACAATAGTAATATGTTCAACAAAAATAGTAATATGTTAAAAAAAAATAGTAACATGCTTAACAAAAATAGTAACATGCTCAACAAAAAAAATAGCAATATAAAAAATTGAAAATAAAAATAATAGCATTCAAACTCATAACCAGATGAAGAAATCTCTAATTATTTAGCATCCAAAAAAGAAACACCGAAAAAAGTAATAACATTTTCAATAAAAAATAGTAATATGAAAAAAAAATAGTAACATGATCAACAAAAAACATAGTAACATGAAACATTGAAAAAATTTGGAGATCAAACTAATGACACATTGATCAAAATTTTTAACATTTTTGCTGCAAAACCCAACAACATAGAAGTTTATGATGACAAAAATGTAGTAGAATATATGGTAATTTTTGATAATGTTCAAACCCCTACTAATTTTGATGCTATGAATGAAGAAATGATATTGAGGAGACATATATTGTTGTACTAGAATGATGATTTTCTTTTAATGAGAGATAGCTAGAGAGAGAGATAAAGAATATAAATTTTAATTTCAATTTAAGAGTTAGTTAAGAGATAATAATTTATAATTTAAGAAATTAATTTAAAGTTACTTTCAAGATTTTTAAAAATCTTGAAAGTTTTTATAATTGAACATAATAACACTGTTAAGAGTATTTTTGGGATTTAAAAAAAAGTAGACTTAAGTATTTATTAGTAAAATAAAAAACGGACTTATCACAAAATAAGTTTTCTTAATGAATTCAAGTCATTATAAATCTATCCAGAATGACACAGTCCCAATTTTCACTTGTTTTTAACATAACTTTAGCCAATTACAAAACGAATAAAATAGCTGAAAAATAACTTTAAAATATTGAAAAACTCTAGATATTATAAGACAATAAATATTTGTTTTTTTAGTATTTTTTCGGTAAAGATCAAGTAATAAAGAATAGAAACTTCTTAATTACAAAAAAAAAATACTTAAACTCTTATAAATTATATTGCTCATAGAAACTATATTTTCACTAATTTTGGTAAAAACATAAATGCAAAAAATCTTAATATGATTTGATAAGTTTGTATGAAAATAATCTATATAATAAAACACGACTCATTTTGAATCCATTATTTTAGATTAGCTTGGCATACGAGCGGCTGAAATGCATTCAATCTAATGATTGAAAATCATCACAAATTTTTTTTGAAAAATCATACTTCTTTACGTTAATTAAAGCCAAATTCTCTAAAAATTAAAAATTCCACCCAACCATACTTTTAAAATAGTGGGACAAGATTGTTTTTAAATTGTGTGATTATAGAAAAAATAAATTATTATTTCATATATTTATACTACAATATACTACACAATGTTCAATTTATTTATATTTTCTAGCATCTTTAGGCATGAATTATTATTAGTAATGGAAGAAATCGGAAACTTTCAGTTTGAGGGCAAAACAAAAGTGGAAATGCGGTGAGCGTGGATCGAACACGCGGCCTTCAGATCTTCAGTCTGACGCTCTCCCAACTGAGCTATCCCCGCAGAATGTGTATAAAAGGGTTGCTTGATAAAATATTACTACAATATTATTTCAATTCAAAGCTAACTAAAAATTTCACTTTGTACCCTGAAATATTTTAATATTCTTATTTTATATTATCAAAAATTAAATTTGTCATATAATACCTTCAATATATCAAAAGTGTTATAATATGATTATTCTGTTAGTTTTTTTGACCGCCAATGAGTTAATTTTTAACATAAAAAATAATAGGAAAAATTACACTCAGAATCCATGATATTTGTTACTTAATCACTCATATTACTTGACATTTAAAATATTATATACAGATTCCATGAGGTTTGTCATCTAATCACTTAGATTCCTTGACATTTAAAATAATATACATAGACCCCCAGAGATTTATACGTGCATAAAACTTAGACCTCTACCACCGATGTTAATTAATATATCTATTAATAAATTACACCTATAACTCCTGAAGTTTATAAGTATATAATATTTAGACCTTTTAAATTTAAAATATTATACTTAAACAAAAAAAATTTCAATCAAAGATAGAATATTAAATATTTTAAATTTTACAACCAAAATTCATGTTCTATTATAAAATTTATTAAAATAAAATTAAAATTAAAAAATTATTTTAAAAAAGAAATTATAATTAATGTACAATTATACTATTTATTGAAATTTAATTTGGTCATACTAAATTAAAATACTCAATTACTCCAATTAAAGTTAATTATATACTAATTACGAAATTTTTTTAAAAAATTAGAGTTTTATTTCAATAAATGATACAATTGGACATGAATTTTGATTGTAAAATTTAAAATATTCAATATTTTATTTTTGATTTGAATATTTTTTGTCTAAATATAATATTTTAAACTTGACGGGTTTAAATATTATACGCTTATAAACTTTAGGAAATATGAATATAATTTACTAACAAATATTTGACGATAGGAGCGGGTACAAACCTCAGGAGATTTGTATGTAATATTTCAAATGTCAAGGATATGAGAGATTAAGTAATAAATTTTAAGAAATTTAAGTATAATTCTCCCAAAATAATAAAAAGTTCACGCTATAATATTTTTGATCATGAATAGTATAATGCGGAAAATTTAATTTTTAAAGTGACTGGAAAAAAAAATCTGTGCAAAGTGAGAAAAGCCCTTTACGTTATCCAGCTGTTCTGTTCTTTCTAGTTGCTTACGTCTCTTCTGTTTCTCTCTCTGTGGATGATACAACAGGACAGGACAGGACAGGGGCTTATAGTCATAGCCATAGATGGGGAGGATGAAGATGAAATCTTTCAAAGAAGAATTTACGTTCAGTTCGTCTAAATAAACTGTTTACCCGCATGAATTCAATTCAATTTCCGATGACCTACACTACAATTATGTTGTTATTCTTAGCTTTATGTATCTAATCCTTGCCGTACATAAATTTGTCTGCAGAGGAACGATGCGAAGAATCACAAGATATCACCGCCAAATACCCTGATAGAGTGCCCGTAAGTCCGTCCACCACCCTTTCCATCATCACCAAATGTTGGATCTACCGTCTTTACATCCTCCATTAACATGGATCTTTTTTCTAAATTCACTATTTACCTATTTTTAATTGATGCTCGATCGTTAGTGGAAACTTCGATATCAATTTGAGTATGTTGAGGGGAGGGAAGGTCTTTTTTCAATTTTTTCCTTCTTAATTATGATTAGCTTCTCTTGGCTCTGCAATCCAGCAGATTTATTGCAGAGAATTGTCTATTTCGATTTAATTTGAGCCTGGTGTTGTAAGATTATCGAATGGGCCAACTTTTTCGAGGTTTAGGTTAATCGCTTCTTAAATGAGGCTCTTGGGTGAAATGAAATAAATTGGTTCGCCATTGAATTTATTTGAATGTGATCCTTCGGTAAGAACTCATGAAGTAGGGTTTTTCTGGCTCTTGCTTTTCTGTCTTTTCTATCCAGTCTGATGAATTTCTGAGTTTGCAGAGCACTTTTGTTGGAAATCTGAAGCAAAACCTAAACCCACTCTCCCTTGTTTTGAGCCATTAATCAACCTCTTATTCTTCACTTCATTCTGTGTCAGAACCAACGGAAGTAGTAATCCTTAAATGTGCACCTAAGACTTGCATGGTTTTGCTAATGGCATCAGGTTGCAGTATTTGCTAATAGTTTTAAAACTTCTGGATTGTGCTAAAAGGATTGGAAAAAGTTAGACATGCTAGATAAATGAGAGCAGGCAAAATTTGATGTTCAGATGTAGAAGCTGGATGCATTTAATCATTGATGACCTGATCAGTTGACAAATATTACCATTATCTCTTAATATATGTGTTTTTGAGCTATAAGTTTGTGTACTAATAGTAGAATCCTTAACTTTAATAAAATTTCCCTATGGAAGGTGCATTCAAAAATTTTGTGTACCCTCTTTTCTTTTGTCCTTTCTCTAGACAGATTCTTTATGTGACTGCCTACAGGTATACTTGAGATATTCCTTAATGTGACAGGTTACAATAGTAATCTAATTTATTTATTCCTTATTACATATTGTAGGTGGTTGTAGAAAGGTATTCAAAAACGGACCTCCCTGAGATGGAAAAGAAAAAGTAAGTTACCTTGCGTTGACGAGACCATCGTTATCTCTTGGTCCGTGAAATAGTAATAATAGTAGTATACACACCGTGAGTACCTTTTCATCACAGATAATTGACTACTGATCCCCATTTCCTTGTACATACAATTTGGGTTAGCATGTTTAAGGAATCTGCTTTACTAAATGAGGCACCCTTGGGACCAAATATGCATCATTTGTTGTAGCATTGCATTGTCAGCAGTGGAATATCAAGTAGTCGAATTCTCATCTGCTTTTTTCCCTCTGATTCTTATTTTTTTTGAAACTTTTTGCCAATATGAGGAGATAGATTAAATTCATTTGATCCTCTCAGACCATTTCTCCTTTCTATATTGACTACAGATATCTGGTACCCCGAGACATGTCTGTTGGGCAATTCCTTCACATCCTGAGTGTTAGGCTCCATCTGGCCCCTGGAAAAGCTCTCTTTGTATTTGTGAAGAATACTTTGCCTCAAACATGTAAATTCTCCATTGAACTCTTAGCTTGTTTTGACTATTAATTTGTATGTTGAGTGACTTTAGTGTTCATTAGCAACAATCTGCAAGCAGCTTTTAATCAATTGCCATTTGCAGCACTTTTGATGGAGTCTGTCTATGAATCATTCAAGGACGAAGATGGTTTCCTTTACATGTGCTACAGCAGCGAGAAAACCTTTGGTTATGCTAAGACCCTGATATGCGAACACTATCCTTTGTAAATTCTCAGAATATGCTCATTGTTGTGGACTGACATCAAATTATATGTACTAAAGTATCTTTGTGTGGATTGGAACTTGTACAGGGTTATCCATTTTGTACATTATCCAAATGTTGGTAATGCTTGATATATATTTGGAGATGTCAACCTCTTTCCTCTTTCCATCAAAAACTACTTACGTTTCTTTGCCATTCTACACTAATGTTGTTTGCATAAGTAATGGCAATGAGGGCAAACATAATGGGAATAACTGTACTTGCTGTTCGTTGCAGTCATTGCCTTATTCCATGTGTGTGTGTGTGTGTGTCTTTATATGCAGAAGTATTGCATGCGCCTGCACCCCTATCTTGCCTTGTTGAAGTCGGGAACATTTTTGGATGCCCTATGTCTTTTCTTGCAAGGAAGAAGGGAAAAACCAGTTGAGTTCGAAATAATGGGAAAAATCGTCAAGGCATGAAGTAGGAAGCAGTGGGTGGTTNTGTTATTAAATTTATTTTTTATTAATTTTATCATATTATCCCTCCCATTTATAAGTGAATTAAAATTAAAAATTAAAAATTCTTAAATTTTAGGAGTTTGATTAACATTAAAAAAATTTATCTCTCATATATATATATATATANTCTCTCATATATATATATATATATTAACATTAAAACTAAAAAATAATAACATTCAAATACAAAAAATTATACCATTTTAAATATAAAAAAAAATAGTAACATTTAAACATAAACAAATAGTAGCATTCAATATTAATATGTTTAAAAAAATAACAATAGTAATATGTTCAACAAAAATAGTAATATGTTAAAAAAAAATAGTAACATGCTTAACAAAAATAGTAACATGCTCAACAAAAAAAATAGCAATATAAAAAATTGAAAATAAAAATAATAGCATTCAAACTCATAACCAGATGAAGAAATCTCTAATTATTTAGCATCCAAAAAAGAAACACCGAAAAAAGTAATAACATTTTCAATAAAAAATAGTAATATGAAAAAAAAATAGTAACATGATCAACAAAAAACATAGTAACATGAAACATTGAAAAAATTTGGAGATCAAACTAATGACACATTGATCAAAATTTTTAACATTTTTGCTGCAAAACCCAACAACATAGAAGTTTATGATGACAAAAATGTAGTAGAATATATGGTAATTTTTGATAATGTTCAAACCCCTACTAATTTTGATGCTATGAATGAAGAAATGATATTGAGGAGACATATATTGTTGTACTAGAATGATGATTTTCTTTTAATGAGAGATAGCTAGAGAGAGAGATAAAGAATATAAATTTTAATTTCAATTTAAGAGTTAGTTAAGAGATAATAATTTATAATTTAAGAAATTAATTTAAAGTTACTTTCAAGATTTTTAAAAATCTTGAAAGTTTTTATAATTGAACATAATAACACTGTTAAGAGTATTTTTGGGATTTAAAAAAAAGTAGACTTAAGTATTTATTAGTAAAATAAAAAACGGACTTATCACAAAATAAGTTTTCTTAATGAATTCAAGTCATTATAAATCTATCCAGAATGACACAGTCCCAATTTTCACTTGTTTTTAACATAACTTTAGCCAATTACAAAACGAATAAAATAGCTGAAAAATAACTTTAAAATATTGAAAAACTCTAGATATTATAAGACAATAAATATTTGTTTTTTTAGTATTTTTTCGGTAAAGATCAAGTAATAAAGAATAGAAACTTCTTAATTACAAAAAAAAAATACTTAAACTCTTATAAATTATATTGCTCATAGAAACTATATTTTCACTAATTTTGGTAAAAACATAAATGCAAAAAATCTTAATATGATTTGATAAGTTTGTATGAAAATAATCTATATAATAAAACACGACTCATTTTGAATCCATTATTTTAGATTAGCTTGGCATACGAGCGGCTGAAATGCATTCAATCTAATGATTGAAAATCATCACAAATTTTTTTTGAAAAATCATACTTCTTTACGTTAATTAAAGCCAAATTCTCTAAAAATTAAAAATTCCACCCAACCATACTTTTAAAATAGTGGGACAAGATTGTTTTTAAATTGTGTGATTATAGAAAAAATAAATTATTATTTCATATATTAGTACTACAATATACTACACAATGTTCAATTTATTTATATTTTCTAGCATCTTTAGGCATGAATTATTATTAGTAATGGAAGAAATCGGAAACTTTCAGTTTGAGGGCAAAACAAAAGTGGAAATGCGGTGAGCGTGGATCGAACACGCGGCCTTCAGATCTTCAGTCTGACGCTCTCCCAACTGAGCTATCCCCGCAGAATGTGTATAAAAGGGTTGCTTGATAAAATATTACCACAATATTATTTCAATTCAAAGCTAAGTAAAAATTTCACTTTGTACCCTGAAATATTTTAATATTCTTATTTTATATTATCAAAAATTAAATTTGTCATATAATACCTTCAATATATCAAAAGTGTTATAATATGATTATTCTGTTAGTTTTTTTTACTGTCAATAAGTTAATTTTTAACATAAAAAATAATAGGAAAAATTACACTCAGACTCCATGATATTTGTTACTTAATCACTCATATTACTTGACATTTAAAATATTATATACAGACTCCATGAGGTTTGTCATCTAATCACTTAGATTCCTTGACATTTAAAATAATATACATAGACCCCCAGAGATTTATACGTGAATAAAACTTAGACCTCTACCACCGATGTTAATTAATATATCTATTAATAAATTACACCTATAACTCCTGAAGTTTATAAGTATATAATATTTAGACTTTTTAAATTTAAAATATTATACTTAAACAACAAAAATTTTAATCAAAGATAGAATATTAAATATTTTAAATTTTACAACCAAAATTCATGTTCTATTATAAAATTTATTAAAATAAAATTAAAATTAAAAAATTATTTTAAAAAAGAAATTATAATTAATGTACAATTATACTATTTATTAAAATTTAATTTGGTCATACTAAATTAAAATACTCAATTACTCCAATCAAAGTTAATTATATACTAATTACGAAATTTTTAAAAAAAATTAGAGTTTTATTTCAATAAATGATACAATTGGACATGAATTTTGGTTGTAAAATTTAAAATATTTAATATTTTATTTTTGATTTGAATATTTTTTGTCTAAGTATAATATTTTAAACTTGACGGGTTTAAATATTATACACTTATAAACTTTAGGAAATATGAATATAATTTACTAACAAATATTTGACGATAGGAGCAGGTACAAACCTTAGGAGATTTGTATGTAATATTTCAAATGTCAAGGATATGAGAGATTAAGTAACAAATTTTAAGAAATTTAGGTATAATTCTCCCAAAATAATAAAAAGTTCGCGCTATAATATTTTTGATCATGAATAGTATAATGAGGAAAATTTAATTTTTAAAAGTGACTGGAAAAAAAAATCTGTGCAAAGTGAGAAAAGCCCTTTACGTTATCCAGCTGTTCTGTTCTTTCTAGTCGCTTACGTCTCTTCTGTTTCTCTCTCTGTGGATGATACAACAGGACAGGACAGGGGCTTATAGTCATAGCCATAGATGGGGAGGATGAAGATGAAATCTTTCAAAGAAGAATTTACGTTCAGTTCGTCTAAATAAACTGTTTATCCGCATGAATTCAATTCAATTTCCGATGACCTACACTACAATTATGTTGTTATTCTTAGCTTTATGTATCTAATCCTTGCCGTACATAAATTTGTCTGCAGAGGAACGATGCGAAGAATCACTAGATATCACCGCCAAATACCCTGATAGAGTGCCCGTAAGTCCGTCCACCACCCTTTCCATCATCACCAAATGTTGGATCTACCGTCTTTACATCCTCCATTAACATGGATCTTTTTTCTAAATTCACTATTTACCTATTTTTAATTGATGCGCGATCGTTAGTGGAAACTTCGATATCAATTTGAGTATGTTGAGGGGAGGGAAGGTCTTTTTTCAATTTTTTCCTTCTTAATTATGATTAGCTTCTCTTGGCTCTGCAATCCAGCAGATTTATTGCAGAGAATTGTCTATTTCGATTTAATTTGAGCCTGGTGTTGTAAGATTATCGAATGGGCCAACTTTTTCGAGGTTTAGGTTAATCGCTTCTTAAATGAGGCTCTTGGGTGAAATGAAATAAATTGGTTCGCCATTGAATTTATTTGAATGTGATCCTTCGGTAAGAACTCATGAAGTAGGGTTTTTCTGGCTCTTGCTTTTCTGTCTTTTCTATCCAGTCTGATGAATTTCTGAGTTTGCAGAGCACTTTTGTTGGAAATCTGAAGCAAAACCTAAACCCACTCTCCCTTGTTTTGAGCCATTAATCAACCTCTTATTCTTCACTTCATTCTGTGTCAGAACCAACGGAAGTAGTAATCCTTAAATGTGCACCTAAGACTTGCATGGTTTTGCTAATGGCATCAGGTTGCAGGTTTTGCTAATAGTTTTAAAACTTCTGGATTGTGCTAAAAGGATTGGAAAAAGTTAGACATGCTAGATAAATGAGAGCAGGCAAAATTTGATGTTCAGATGTTAGAAGCTGGATGCATTTAATCATTGATGACCTGATCAGTTGACAAATATTACCATTATCTCTTAATATATGTGTTTTTGAGCTATAAGTTTGTGTACTAATAGTAGAATCCTTAACTTCAAAAAAATTTCCCTATGGAAGGTGCATTCAAAAATTTTGTGTACCCTCTTTTCTTTTGTCCTTTCTCTAGACAGATTCTTTATGTGACTGCCTACAGGTATACTTGAGATATTCCTTAATGTGACAGGTTACAATAGTAATCTAATTTATTTATTCCTTATTACATATTGTAGGTGGTTGTAGAAAGGTATTCAAAAACGGACCTCCCTGAGATGGAAAAGAAAAAGTAAGTTACCTTGCGTTGACGAGACCATCGTTATCTCTTGGTCCGTGAAATAGTAATAATAGTAGTATACACACCGTGAGTACCTTTTCATCACAGATAATTGACTACTGATCCCCATTTCCTTGTACATACAATTTGGGTTAGCATGTTTAAGGAATCTGCTTTACTAAATGAGGCACCCTTGGGACCAAATATGCATCATTTGTTGTAGCATTGCATTGTCAGCAGTGGAATATCAAGTAGTCGAATTCTCATCTGCTTTTTTCCCTCTGATTCTTATTTTTTTTGAAACTTTTTGCCAATATGAGGAGATAGATTAAATTCATTTGATCCTCTCAGACCATTTCTCCTTTCTATATTGACTACAGATATCTGGTACCCCGAGACATGTCTGTTGGGCAATTCCTTCACATCCTGAGTGTTAGGCTCCATCTGGCCCCTGGAAAAGCTCTCTTTGTATTTGTGAAGAATACTTTGCCTCAAACATGTAAATTCTCCATTGAACTCTTAGCTTGTTTTGACTATTAATTTGTATGTTGAGTGACTTTAGTGTTCATTAGCAACAATCTGCAAGCAGCTTTTAATCAATTGCCATTTGCAGCACTTTTGATGGAGTCTGTCTATGAATCATTCAAGGACGAAGATGGTTTCCTTTACATGTGCTACAGCAGCGAGAAAACCTTTGGTTATGCTAAGACCCTGATATGCGAACACTATCCTTTGTAAATTCTCAGAATATGCTCATTGTTGTGGACTGACATCAAATTATATGTACTAAAGTATCTTTGTGTGGATTGGAACTTGTACAGGGTTATCCATTTTGTACATTATCCAAATGTTGGTAATGCTTGATATATATTTGGAGATGTCAACCTCTTTCCTCTTTCCATCAAAAACTACTTACGTTTCTTTGCCATTCTACACTAATGTTGTTTGCATAAGTAATGGCAATGAGGGCAAACATAATGGGAATAACTGTACTTGCTGTTCGTTGCAGTCATTGCCTTATTCCATGTGTGTGTGTGTGTGTGTCTTTATATGCAGAAGTATTGCATGCGCCTGCACCCCTATCTTGCCTTGTTGAAGTCGGGAACATTTTTGGATGCCCTATGTCTTTTCTTGCAAGGAAGAAGGGAAAAACCAGTTGAGTTCGAAATAATGGGAAAAATCGTCAAGGCATGAAGTAGGAAGCAGTGGGTGGTTGGTTAGTAAATTCACAGGGATTTATGTCAGCGCTAGAGTACACAGGTTAAGGTGTTTGTTATTGTCTAGGGTATACAATTGTCCATTTTTGCGAGAATGAATATGCTTTGTTTAGGCCTGTGCTTCCTTTGCTGAAATAAAGTCAAATGGCTTGATTCGAGATTTCTTAAGAATCAATTTGGTCAAATTCCGTACACTGGGAAAAGGAATAGCAATGGTTTTTTTGTGAGAAGTCGATTGTTTACTCGATAATTGAGGTAGTCATTGAATTCGTTTTTTGTTGTGGATTGTTTTGCCGCAGATCATAGGAATCAGCTGAAAAACTAAACAGCTTTCATCTGTTCGAGGAATTAAACATCTTCATGGTTGGACAGATCTTAAAATGAGTTAAAATCAAAAGCCAAAACTAAATTTTGCTGTCGATTGATCAGCCAACATTCACTGTTTTCCCATTTAACGAGAAATGAGGAAGGAAACATTCTAACCAACCAACTATGGCAGCTCGTGTCCACTGTGAAAATATTTGACACACATGAAAATATATGCATGCTCTAATTCTAGGGAATACCAAATATTTGACAGCTTATATATGTGTGGATATTACAATTGAAGAAACGAGGTTCCCATGGCACTTCTCAAGTGTGCCGGCAATACAAATACCAAAAAATTGAAAACACATATAGCACTAAATGAGTTGCCAATATATCCAAGGCTACGTATAAAATTGAAGCAGAACTGCCAACCCAACACTGTGACTGAGGCCTAGATTATACAAACTAGTCTCAACACACGTGAATACTTATAATGACCAGGACATACCTTGACCGAGGCATAGATTATAGCCGCTTCAGGCAAATTCTGTTCAACTCAAGAAAACTCTGTTCTGAAACCATAATTACCATGCCTAGACAACAAAATCAGATAAGCCAGCTCCGGAAGATGTAGGTTTCCTTAAGACAACTTAGTCATTAATTGCTGGTACCTTTTTGCCAAAAGAAAAAGAAATTGCAAAGTGCATTATGTTTTGGGGTCTCTTGATTTCTTCGCCAAAAGCCTTTGACCTCCACCATTTCGCCAAACACCATGCACAGGCAAACCTTCAGTCGAGTTCTTGGACCCATCTACTGCTACCTCCTCCTCTAAATCTGGATTTGGATCAGCAGGATCAGAATTTTTAAGATCTAAAAGTGCTGCCACTGAGCCATCACCAAGGCGGACTCGATGGAACTTGGAGGTTTTCTTACGTTGCTTACTTTTACCACCTCCATCCCCCAAAATTTGATTAGACACAACACCAACTGACAAAGAATTACTTTGACCTTTCAGCTTTAAAGTTTGACTAGGAGAACTAAATTCTACTTGCGGTTCATCAACTACCATCTTTGATTTGCCTTTGGCAGCCCGATACCCATCCTTTGATAACACCTCCTCTTCATCTGAGGGCTGGTAGCTTGACTGCAGTTTCCGCACAGTGCTTATGATGGCATCTGCTAAGTTATCCTTTGAACCACTGCTTCCAACATCTACTGACTTCACTTTACCTTTTTTGGAACCATCACCATCTTTCAAGTGAATGCTGCCATTTCTCCAACTATTTTCCCGTGACCCATTGCTTACCAAAGTAGCATTGTAGGTATCAACAAGCTCTTTCTGTTTCCGAGTATCAGGACACAGTCTAGCCAACTCAAGTACAAGATGAGACAAGCCAAACTGCTCCACGTAAGCCAAATATGTTTCTGCATCCAATAGGCCTAGACGATATTCTGCAGATATATCTTTAAAGGCACTGTATTTATCATGATCAAACTCCAAATCAGCACGTATTCTTTCCACCAAGGACTTGTTTGCAGTGTGAACATCTACGTTCAGCATAGCCTGGCCACTTGCAGGAAACTTCCGTGGCTGCGCTGCATAAACTGGCGGAAAATCCGATATGGAAGAGTCAGAAAATCCAGTGTCCACGAGGTTTGGGGCAGACGTGGAATGGCTAAGCATATTGCTGCTCCCCCAATTCCTTGATGAACTAAAAGAACCAGCGGAAAAGTGTTCATGAACAGGTGAGGGTCGAGCCTGAACAGAACTTGCATAACTAGCTGGTACAGGTCCATGGTCTGTCATTGGCTTATTCTGGCCAGAACTAGATGACAACCCAGAAGCATTATTTGCTGTAGGCCTAATATGAGCCGGACTAATTGCTGATGGCACAGATACATGACTTGCCGCAGGCCAGGCCTGAGCAGCATTGAGGACAGTCACCTTTCGGTTGTTTTGGCGGCGGAGATGCGTTGCCATAGTGTTCCTAGATAAACCTTCATGATCATGTTTGGGCTTTTGTTGACTGGTATTAGGTACGATGGGGAGAGGAGGAAATGAAGACTCTTCCAGAGGTCCATTCCTTGAGTTCTGTGACACAGCTTGAAGATATCTCGAAGGTGGCTCAGAATCTGTAGTAGCTAACAGTTCAAATGGTTGTATAATCGAATCATTATCACTTGTCTCTCCCTGATTGGAAAGTACAGGCGCACTCAATGCTGATGGATCATTATATCCACCATCGACATTTGCTGTCTCTAAACTGGCCTGTATGGCCATGGAGAGTTGGTTAGCATCAGAAGAATCATGATGGAACGTCCGTCCCATTCCACGACGATTATCTTGTTCACTGCCCCGCCGATATCTGAAACTTGTAGGTATCTAGGCACAATAAATAAAAAATGGGAATGTATATTGTTATGCTCATGCAATAAAAAAGTGGAAGTAAACAGTGGAAATTGGATGCATGGATTAGCCTCCAAATGAACAATGAAATGAGAGTGCTAATTGATTGGTAAACATTAAAGCAACACGTGAAGAGTTAGAGACACAGACATACCTGAAGAGCAGCACTACGCTTAGAACGAGACATACGCCCTCCATGGTCCAGAGTATTGTGCCTCTGAAAATTGAAATATTCCAAAAGAAGGAAAAAAAAAAATTAGACTACAGCTCAATAACCATGCTGAACTTGATAAAGTCTGGATGAACACAATACCCATACTTCTACATGCATGTATTGCACACATATCTACGTCATACACATATGTACACAGACACACACACCTACAAATAAATATATAAAAGTAAATTTTGAATGAAGAAAAAAATTGAAGCATTATTCAACTCATGCTCTAAATTACCTTCATTTCAGCTTCTGATTGAAAGACGACAAACTTTTTAGCAAGGCAGGCCTCATCCTCACATATATAATGGTCTCGACTAAAGTGATTCTATCAAGGGAAACCAAAGTTTATAAGAAATTCAAAATTCAAAGCAATAGTTAAAAACATCAAAATCATCATCAAGAGTGTAGAAGATATCCAACCTCCAAGTCATCATAATTCTTGTAGTATTCATATTGTCCTGGATGCTGTCTGCACAAAACAGTGTAAATGTAAACTCTACTTGTTTTGATGGCACCCAAAACATCCTGTCATTTCAAACAACAAGTACATATTCTACCTTTGGCATATATGACAAGTATAATGTTCAGTAGACATGTGTGTGTACAGCTCGTTATGTCCATAAAAAGGGGTTCTGCAAAATTCGCACAAAGGATGCCCCATGAAGCCACCTCTTTCACTCTCAGATCCATCCACCTCAGAATCACCGGTGTTTATGTGCTGATTCAATTGTGCTCTAGTATATAGCTTTTGTTCACAAATAAATACCTAATTCATTCAAAACAAAGCCAGTGAGATCATTGTATTAGTGAAGTAATAAGCATATTATGTACTGTGACTAGGGGACAGGAACCGTCTGGTGAAATTCTAAATCAGAAAGCAGAGTCACATAAAATTATGTGCNTAATGATTTTCTTTTAATGAGAGATAGCTAGAGAGAGAGATAAAGAATATAAATTTTAATTTCAATTTAAGAGTTAATTAAGAGATAATAATTTCTAATTTAAGAAATTAATTTAAAGTTACTTTCAAGATTTTTAAAAATCTTGAAAGTTTTTATAATTGAACATAATAACACTGTTAAGAGTATTTTTGGGATTTAAAAAAAAGTAGACTTAAGTATTTATTAGTAAAATAAAAAACGGACTTATCACAAAATAAGTTTTCTTAATGAATTCAAGTCATTATAAATCCATTCAGAATGACACAGTCCCAATTTTCACTTGTTTTTAACATAACTTTAGCCAATTACAAAACGAATAAAATAGCTGAAAAATAATTTTAAAATATTGAAAAACTCTAGATATTATAAGACAATAAATATTTGTTTGTTTAGTATTTTTTCGGTAAAGATCAAGTAATAAAGAATAGAAACTTCTTAATTACAAAAAAAAATACTTAAACTCTTATAAATTATATTGCTCATAGAAACTATATTTTCACTAATTTTGGTAAAAACATAAATGCAAAAAATCTTAATATGATTTGATAAGTTTGTATGAAAATAATCTATATAATAAAACACGACTCATTTTGAATCCATTATTTTAGATTAGCTTGGCATACGAGCGGCTGAAATGCATTCAATCTAATGATTGAAAATCATCACAAATTTTTTTTGAAAAATCATACTTCTTTACGTTAATTAAAGCCAAATTCTCTAAAAATTAAAAATCCCACCCAACCATACTTTTAAAATAGTGGGACAAGATTGTTTTTAAATTGTGTGATTATAGAAAAAATAAATTATTATTTCATATATTTATACTACAATATACTACACAATGTTCAATTTATTTATATTTTCTAGCATCTTTAGGCATGAATTATTATTAGTAATGGAAGAAATCGGAAACTTTCAGTTTGAGGGCAAAACAAAAGTGGAAATGCGGTGAGCGTGGATCGAACACGCGGCCTTCAGATCTTCAGTCTGACGCTCTCCCAACTGAGCTATCCCCGCAGAATGTGTATAAAAGGGTTGCTTGATAAAATATTACTACAATATTATTTCAATTCAAAGCTAACTAAAAATTTCACTTTGTACCCTGAAATATTTTAATATTCTTATTTTATATTATCAAAAATTAAATTTGTCATATAATACCTTCAATATATCAAAAGTGTTATAATATGATTATTCTGTTAGTTTTTTTTACTGTCAATAAGTTAATTTTTAACATAAAAAATAATAGGAAAAATTACACTCAGACTCCATGATATTTGTTACTTAATCACTCATATTACTTGACATTTAAAATATTATATACAGACTCCATGAGGTTTGTCATCTAATCACTTAGATTCCTTGACATTTAAAATAATATACATAGACCCCCAGAGATTTATACGTGAATAAAACTTAGACCTCTACCACCGATGTTAATTAATATATCTATTAATAAATTACACCTATAACTCCTGAAGTTTATAAGTATATAATATTTAGACTTTTTAAATTTAAAATATTATACTTAAACAACAAAAATTTTAATCAAAGATAGAATATTAAATATTTTAAATTTTACAACCAAAATTCATGTTCTATTATAAAATTTATTAAAATAAAATTAAAATTAAAAAATTATTTTAAAAAAGAAATTATAATTAATGTACAATTATACTATTTATTAAAATTTAATTTGGTCATACTAAATTAAAATACTCAATTACTCCAATCAAAGTTAATTATATACTAATTACGAAATTTTTAAAAAAAATTAGAGTTTTATTTCAATAAATGATACAATTGGACATGAATTTTGGTTGTAAAATTTAAAATATTTAATATTTTATTTTTGATTTGAATATTTTTTGTCTAAGTATAATATTTTAAACTTGACGGGTTTAAATATTATACACTTATAAACTTTAGGAAATATGAATATAATTTACTAACAAATATTTGACGATAGGAGCAGGTACAAACCTTAGGAGATTTGTATGTAATATTTCAAATGTCAAGGATATGAGAGATTAAGTAACAAATTTTAAGAAATTTAGGTATAATTCTCCCAAAATAATAAAAAGTTCGCGCTATAATATTTTTGATCATGAATAGTATAATGAGGAAAATTTAATTTTTAAAAGTGACTGGAAAAAAAAATCTGTGCAAAGTGAGAAAAGCCCTTTACGTTATCCAGCTGTTCTGTTCTTTCTAGTCGCTTACGTCTCTTCTGTTTCTCTCTCTGTGGATGATACAACAGGACAGGACAGGGGCTTATAGTCATAGCCATAGATGGGGAGGATGAAGATGAAATCTTTCAAAGAAGAATTTACGTTCAGTTCGTCTAAATAAACTGTTTATCCGCATGAATTCAATTCAATTTCCGATGACCTACACTACAATTATGTTGTTATTCTTAGCTTTATGTATCTAATCCTTGCCGTACATAAATTTGTCTGCAGAGGAACGATGCGAAGAATCACTAGATATCACCGCCAAATACCCTGATAGAGTGCCCGTAAGTCCGTCCACCACCCTTTCCATCATCACCAAATGTTGGATCTACCGTCTTTACATCCTCCATTAACATGGATCTTTTTTCTAAATTCACTATTTACCTATTTTTAATTGATGCGCGATCGTTAGTGGAAACTTCGATATCAATTTGAGTATGTTGAGGGGAGGGAAGGTCTTTTTTCAATTTTTTCCTTCTTAATTATGATTAGCTTCTCTTGGCTCTGCAATCCAGCAGATTTATTGCAGAGAATTGTCTATTTCGATTTAATTTGAGCCTGGTGTTGTAAGATTATCGAATGGGCCAACTTTTTCGAGGTTTAGGTTAATCGCTTCTTAAATGAGGCTCTTGGGTGAAATGAAATAAATTGGTTCGCCATTGAATTTATTTGAATGTGATCCTTCGGTAAGAACTCATGAAGTAGGGTTTTTCTGGCTCTTGCTTTTCTGTCTTTTCTATCCAGTCTGATGAATTTCTGAGTTTGCAGAGCACTTTTGTTGGAAATCTGAAGCAAAACCTAAACCCACTCTCCCTTGTTTTGAGCCATTAATCAACCTCTTATTCTTCACTTCATTCTGTGTCAGAACCAACGGAAGTAGTAATCCTTAAATGTGCACCTAAGACTTGCATGGTTTTGCTAATGGCATCATGTTGCAGTATTTGCTAATAGTTTTAAAACTTCTGGATTGTGCTAAAAGGATTGGAAAAAGTTAGACATGCTAGATAAATGAGAGCAGGCAAAATTTGATGTTCAGATGTTAGAAGCTGGATGCATTTAATCATTGATGACCTGATCAGTTGACAAATATTACCATTATCTCTTAATATATGTGTTTTTGAGCTATAAGTTTGTGTACTAATAGTAGAATCCTTAACTTTAATAAAATTTCCCTATGGAAGGTGCATTCAAAAATTTTGTGTACCCTCTTTTCTTGTGTCCTTTCTCTGGACAGATTCTTTATGTGACTGCCTACAGGTATACTTGAGATATTCCTTAATGTGACAGGTTACAATAGTAATCTAATTTATTTATTCCTTATTACATATTGTAGGTGGTTGTAGAAAGGTATTCAAAAACGGACCTCCCTGAGATGGAAAAGAAAAAGTAAGTTACCTTG